AATTCCTCAAGCTTGTCAAACCACTGCGTCGATTTGCTTATGAAAGGCATTTCTAATCAAAAGGGGTAATTACAATATTAAGTGCCAAGCCTTGGTGTGCAAACTCTTGAGTCATAAGATATTAAGCTTAATTGAACTCCATTGAAGGAGGCATGCAGCATCACGCACTCGTCTTTCTGAGCCGAGGCTAGCCCAAGCTGAAAATTTCACTCCAGGAAAGTGGACAAATTACCTGATGTATTAGCTTCTCCACGATCACGGTGTCACACGAGCCAGTGCACCTGCTGTAGGAAGCTGTTTCCTCTCTGAAGTTCTAACACTTCAGGGATCACTGAGTGAGATCCCACCCTGCCTTACAAAGCTCTCAGTCCTTTTTGGCTGTAATCACATGGTGGCCTAGCCCTGGACCTGAACCCATTTATTTACTCATTCATTCATTCATTCAATACATATTGAGATTTTCAATGTGCCAAGTGCTGTACTGGGCACTGTATAGGCTAAGATAAATAAATACAATCTATTCTAGGTCTTCAAGAAATTCACCGTTGGTTTGTGAAGTTTGGCTCACAAACAGGTAATTAACCCACAATGTGAAAGTGCTGTAATAAAAAAATACTCATGAGGAGTCGACCAAGGAGTGTCCCAGCCTACCTTGGAGAAGTCAGATAAGGCTCCCAGGGGAGGTACCACCTGACTGATTCTAGAAAGATGAGTAGGCTGGAGAGGCTGTGGAGTGTCCCAGGCAGAGGGCCCAGCATGTGCAAAGGTGTGATAGAATGAAAGACTTCTACGTATTTCCGGAAGCTATAAAGAGTTCTCTGTGATTTGTAAATTTTATATATATGTGGACATGGACAATACACACAGCTGGATAGAGGTTGTAAAGGGGCCCAGAAGAGGGAAGCAGGAGGCAGTAACGGTAATAGGATAAGGCTTCTTGGACATTTTAGGACCATTCCTAGCCCCTCTCCCCAGAGAGAGGGTCAGAATCCAAGTGCTGTATTTTGAGGCATCTACACAAAACTACGGAAGCAATCAAAGGGACTCCACGAATTCAGACCCTGATGCACACCACACATGTAGTCACAACCACCTCTCCCCACGAAGCACACAGGCGCCCCCACTGGGTGTGACAGCACCCACGTGGATACATACCCATTCACACGTACAGAAAATGACGCAGGTGCCTCCAGGGACACACCCTCAGCCCACACCGCAGGTTTGATCTGGGGCTCACCAGCAGCAGAGGAAGTTTTCCCATAAAATGAGCGGAGTGATCTGTCATCCCAGAGGATGGATTGCCTCGCTGGCGTGTGTGCCGTGCTGTCTGTAAGCACATGTTTTCATCAGCAATCGAATCATCCTTCAATTAGGTCCAATTTGGCCAAGGAAAGAAAGAAAGAAAGAAAGAAAGAAAGAAAGAAAGAAAGAAAGAAAGAAAGAAAGAAAGAAAGAAAGAAAGGAAGGAAGGAAGGAAGGAAGGAAGGAAGGAAGGAAGGAAGGAAGGAAGGAAGGAAGGAAGGAAGGAAGGAAGGAAGACGTTTGAATCCATACAGTTCAGGACTTTTGCTTTTTTTTTTTTGTTCTAAGAACATGAAACCAAAGATTTCAGGAAAAGGAGAAGAAAAGAAACAGTGATTACATCCTCTTGATGTCCTGTGCTCTTAATATTCTTTTAAAGTTGATTTTCAGACTAACACTTGTGATGGCAAAATGACTATTTGCATTTTAAAGGGAAGAAGACGCAGAGGCTTAGAGAGGTTAATCACCTAATCGAGGTCACCCAGGGTGTGGATCAAGGACAGGATCTTGTACTAAAAAGCCACTTTCTCTTCTGATAAGAATGGAGGAGGACAGTTATGTTATTTTTATCAAATAAATTGTTAAATATTTTATCACATTAACTATTTATTTATTTTCATCAAGTAAATCAACCATGGGCCTGGTTGAGACATAAGCCACAGAAATCAAGAAGAGCAGGTGTGATACTGCCTGCCTTCCACAAAAACCCAAACGAGACACGCTTAGAGGAGACAATGTCTGTCACTGGTCTGGACCCACACTGCTCACAGCATCAGACGATACATGGCAACCTTTAGAAAGGAGACCTGTTGCAGATCCTCAGCTGAAGATGTTCTAGGTCTAACGAGGCCATAAGCCAGATGGTCCTTTAAGTTATTTAGGTTCAGCATATTCTTCCTTTGTCAGCTTGCAACAGAGAGAGTGGAGAGAAGTTGTACTGTTTTTAATAAATTCATTATCCATCTACAACAATAATCATTCTAAGCTTGGGGCCAATGAGCAAGATTTCAGAACCCAGCCCAGGCCTAATGGTCTGAGACAGAGAGACAGACCATCTGGCCAGTCCTCAAGGTTCTACATTTCCAAAGTAAAGCTTGCCCCTTTGGCGCTAGGAACAATTGGAGATCTTTTTGGTTTGATCAGGTAGGAGGGGCAAGAGTTTTTCTTTAAATGAATAAATAATTGCCTAGACATACTTTTTTTTTTTTTTTCACTTGAGACTTTCTTTTTTGTTCTGGAATGAATAGTCACAATAATTATTGGTGCTTTGCTCACTACTTCCTAAAGTCATGAGCAATGCTAATCTCTGTCCTTATTTAGAAACATTTCCATTCCCATGCAATGTTAAAAAAAAAAAACACAAAAAAACTATGAAATTTCATTTGATTTCTCTCCATTTCAATTCTGAGTAGAAATACAAGGAAAATATGCTCTTGCTACTCCTGACCCAATGGTTTAAAGCCTGACTAATATTAATATAATTTCATCCCAGGAATAAAACTAGTGACGTCAAACTTTTCCTTGTGAGGTTGTGAGAGAGGCTTGGAGATTTGGCAATAAGGTTATACTAGGTCATATCAGTCAGAGCTTTCTGATAGCAGATTTCCTGGGAGGCCGGTATCTTTGATTGGCCTATCATTGCCAGGCTTTGAGAGTGTGGAAAGAGCAATGAGAGGTTAGTCAAGTGACAATGTTTTCAGACTGGCTTAGTGACCCTTCAGTTTTTTTATCTGTAAGATAAAGGGCTTGTGCCAGAAAGTTTCTCATAGTATGGCATCAGAAATTTACCAATACAGCAAACATTTATTGAGCTTCTACTATGCTTGGGACATTGGGCGAAATGTTGAAAATAAAAAGGTCATATCGTAACTGGTCTTATCCTCCTGAGTTTTCAGGATGTAGAGGGAAAAGCAGAAACTGAGAGTGTTAACAAAATGTGTATGCTGTATTAGAAATTTATAGGGCCCATTATTCTATGAAACTTTCTCCTTACATCCAAGCACATGGGCAAACTGGTTTTTGAATCAATGGAGTAAAAGGAAGTTACACTGTAGGTTTCTTCAGGACCAGAGTTGAGTCCAAAGCATGGAGAGATTGATTTATTTGGGGAAACTCATTTAGCTCCCAGTGTTGTTGTTGTTGTTGTTTGCTTTCATGCAATAGAGTGTTCTCCATAAATGCAATGGCAAGCTATGCAGAGAGAAGCTCTGTCAACAAACCTGTTATTAATCATTATCATAATGATCTGAACCAACCTGCTGAGCTTTTTGATGTTTGCTCAGCTCCAAGGACTAAGATGAAAATCTGGGTGTGATCTCTATCATTGCTGCATTAGGATCTGTGGCCCATTAATCTCAGGCTACAAATGACCATAGGTGACCGCAAATGGACACATGTCATTTCATCTCCCACCCTGGGGTTCTAGACACCACCCCCTGCACCCTGCTCCCTCCCCCCTACACCATGTCCTGGCTCCCACAAAACTCCAGGAAGGTTTTCTGGGTGAGAGCCAGCCAGAAGAGTTTTCTTTCCCTCTATCCCAGAGTCATCAAGAATGTTTTCCAAGTGCTTCCCTTCAAGTTGAATCCCCAGTGGTCATAGGAACTTGCCAAGCAAGAGACTTTCCAAGAGTAATATCTTGACAACAAAATTTATAAAAGATGAAAGAAAAAGGTGGGGGAGGATACTCACACATCAAAACTCCAGGCATGAACCCAAGAGCTAAACACATGGCAGAAGGAAGTCAGGGGACTGCTTTAGTCAGCTGCGAGGTCAGTAGGAGACCTGGGTTCTAATCTCAGCCCTGTTATTGCTTCGTGTATGACCTGGATGAAGGGGTAGTTAGGACCATCAAATTTGGAAACAGGTACTTCCAGGTTTTGTTAAGAGCTCTGTAACCTTGTTCACATAACTTCATTTCTCTGTGCCCCCTCTGTAAAATGAGAATATAAATATATACATCCCGCATAGGGTGATTGTGAGATCATAGTACTTCCACAACCACTGAGTATAAACTGGAAGGAAGCTGACTCACAAACGAGAGCTGTCTGTGAGCTCAGAGCCAAGGTACAGGGAGCAAATACATCACATCTAAGCCCTGGCACCTCTGCTCACTCTGCTGGCTCCCAGGAGGGGATGGCAGGAAATTCCTTCTCCCAGAACTCAATCACCCTGCTTCCCTTGCTGTGGGGGAAACGGCCATGCTGATGGGGTAGCCTGGGTGGGGATGTTGTCTAGCCTGGATTTGGCCTCCTCTGGATGGTGACCATGTGATAAAGTTGAATAGGTAACACTCTAAGGGTCTTTCCAATGTAGATTCTTTGACTTTTGCTGTCTAGGTCATATTATTTGTACACCTTGATCACATCCCCTATTCAAAGCTTCCCTGACTGCTCCCACTTTTCCCTAGGCCAGACAGCAGCCAGTGGCCAATGGACATCAGTGATGTTATGTTGCCAAGAGTCATAGAGTCACAACCCTGGCACTTACTCCACAATGACACTTTCTTATGTCAGGGCTTTGTCTTTGAGGCAGGCTGTATACAGCTGAGAAACCACCAACAACAAAACAACCCTAATGATCAGAGTAACAGCAAAAAAAGTTTAATGAGCAAAGGATGGGAGAACAAGAAGGGGTCCACAAACCCAAAGTGAAAGGAACATTCCTCCTCTTCCTATGTATGAAAGAGTCTTGTAAACAGTATAGAGTCTGTGCAGATATATGTCCAGGGTGGCCATTGTGATGCAGGCCCTCTTGGTCTCACATTTGGGTAGCCTGAATGAATGTACTTCTTGGGAAACCTTGAAAATATAATGGATAGTTTGATTTTAAGGTGTCCTAGAACTAATTAAAGGAAGATGACTCAATTCAGATAAGCAAAAGGGATGTCCCCAGAGAGCTTATCTTTTTTGTATCTATTTCACCTTTTCCCAGGCCATGCAGGGGCCCTGACACAAAGTGGGCCTTCCATGAATTAAGAATTTCATATCATTCTATCAGTTAATTGTGCACTTTCTAATGATCCCTCACATTCTCTTTGATTCCCCTTATCCCACTAACCACACTCAAATGTCCCTTTTGTGATGACTTCCAACAGAGCAGCATTGTAGCTCATTTCTTGAGAGAACACGGACTATGCAAACCATGATATGCCTGGCGGCTCCTTTAAGTCAACCAGAAATTTATTCTGGTGAGCCTGATCCCATAAAGAATGTCTCCCTTTAAATCTCTAATATACACAGGTTGCGTGTGTGAACATATGCTCAGGTCCCCACATTTTATGGAAACGACACTGAATCATTTTGCAACAAAGGAAGGGCTTTGGATGCTTCTTGGAGGTGTGGCCAAGTGGCAGGATCTGGGCAAACCAGTTGAGTGAGTGCACTTCTAACCAGCCAATGATGGCCTATCTGGAAGGAACAGGGTTCTGAAACCAGAATGAACCACAATTATAGAAGATTCTAAGCGCTCCTCCTTATGAGGCTGGGAGGTTTTATTCTTCATGGCAGAGAATCTAGCCACATGTAAAGAGGCTCCAAGCCGGTAGACAGCCTGTTGCTCAGCGGACTGAGAGCTTCTTGCATCTTCCCACGTATATTCTCTTGGCTAAAGAGCCCTTTACAGAGCTTCCAGTCCAGTGGCCTTGGATCTTCTCTCCAAGGGGGTCCTAGTGTCACCCAGAGCTGCCTTAGGATCAAATGCAGGGACAAGGAGATTGGGCTAGATACATTTTTTGAGTCCCTGCTTCAATACAGTGGCTTTAATTTCATTCTCTCTTATATCTTGAGATTCTTTTAATGGTTTATTTTTTATTTTAAGGAAAGAGGACTTCTGCTTAAAAGAAGTGTTTGAAAACAAGCCCCCATCCCAGCTTTTTTAAGATAGACAAACTGAGTCCGGGAAATGAAGAGCGAAACTGATCTTTTCAAGGTCATCAAATGCTTCCATGTTGCAAAATTCAACCCTCTTTCTAGTTGACCTCTTGGCAGCATTTGACCCAGTTTATCACTCCCTCTACCTTGAATCACTGTCTTCTCTTGGATTCCACGACAACATATTCTTCTGGAGTTTGTCTTCTAGAACAAACTCCTCTGGCTACTTCCTCTTGGTCTCTTTCCCAGGCCCCCGTATTCCATCTCCCAGTGCTGGTCTTTCCAGGGCTCCACTTGGGAGTCTGTCTCTTCCTCAGCTATATGCTCTCCCTAGAAATCACATCTGCTCCCATAGTTTTAAATTCTATCTGAATGCCAAAGACTCCTACCTGCATATCCACACTTCTGACCTACCTCCAATGGACTCAAGACTTGTACATCCAACTTTATGTCTTCTCCATTTGGATATCTACTAGGCATTTCAAACTCAACATTTTGAAGACAGAATCCTTGCTCTCCCACCACCAGTCTATACCTTGCCCACCTGTCCCCATCCAGTAATAGACAACCTTCCCTATCACCTGGTATATGGACCGGAGTAGTATTCATGTGTGTTGAATCTGTCGCCAACAGAATATGTTAGATATGCTGCCTAAGAAACTATGGGCAAAACTTGGGAATTGCCCTTGATACTTCTCTTTCTCACACCCCTACATTTAGTCTGTTAGTGTTAGGACTCTAGTTCATAAGCACACATCAAGTCCTCTTCTACAGACACTATCTGAACTTACACTATTTGTTTCTCACCTTCATCAAGGAAATAGCTTCTTTACTGGTCTTATGGCCTCTATTCCTGCTTCCACATCCCTCATGGTCCATCCTCCCTACACTTTTAAATGTGTAAATCAAGCCATGCTGTTCTCCTGCTCAAAACCTTCCAAGGACCACCTATTGAGCTTACAATAAAATCCACATTCCTCCAGGCACAAAAACTTTCTTCTGATTTCTGGAATACCCAAACACAGTTTTATATTAGGTTCTTGTAACAGCCACCTCCATCTGAAATATCTTTCCCTTCCATCTCATACTCAAGTCTAAATGTTACACCCAGCCTCTAGAGAAGCCTTCCTTGATTCCTTTTTCAAATGTAGTCTTCTCAGGCACTTTCTAGCATATTTTTTTCTTTTAATCCAATAGTAGCATTCATCACTATCCAACTCTTCTTTTTTCTCTCTCTCTCTCTTTCCTTCCTCCCTCCCTCCCTCCCTCCCTCACGTCCGCGTCCTTGCCTTCCTTCCTTCCTTCCTTCCTTCCTTCCTTCCTTCCTTCCTTCCTTGTTTAATACACCATTTCCCTCCCATAAAGGTCCATGAGAATAGAAACCTTACCTGTCTTGTGCAATGCTTTCACCCAACCTTAAAAACAGTGCCTAGCACATGACTGACATTCAACAGGTATATACTGAACAAATGAATGAACGTGACTTCTCCCAAGACATACAACTTTGGTAGAATCAGACTGCCAAACTCCATGAGGGACTCATGAATGGACTTCAAAAGTCTTTGCTCAGGATAGGATGTTTTAAGACTTTACATAATATCTTTCTTTCCATGGAGGGAAAAATATAATAAAGTTCCTTGAAGTATAATCTTCTGGAATCATGGGGATATTTTACTGCCTAGAAAATAATCTACTTATTCAATAAGCATTTATTGAGGACCCATTACATGGAACTGTTAGGCACCAGGAATATAAGCACAAATAAGACACAGTCCCCACCCTCTTCTCTAGACAAAGAGAGACACCTAACAGATGACAACAGTATTAAAATTTTAGTGGACGTAATACTGAGCACTTAGGAATGGGGCACTCTTCTGAGGACTTAAAGTGCTTGACACATATATTTCTCACAGCCATCCTATGTGGTATTTACTACTCTTCTTCTCATTTTGCAATTGAGGAAACTGAGTCATAGATTAGGTATTTTGTCCAAGGTTGGAGAGAACTAGCATGTGCAGAGCTGGGCTTTGTATCCTTGTAATGTACTGTGGAGTATGTCCTCGTAGCATAGTCCATGCTCTGCTGCCTGTCTCCTAAAGGTATGCATAAAATGATGTGGGGACAGAAGAGGGAATAATTCCTTCTGTCCTTGGTGGCAAAGGAGATTTGGTGAAGGATTTATTGTGGAAATAACACTGAGTTTTGTACTTGTAGGATGAGATGAGGTTTCCCAAAGGGAGATGTCTACCAAGGTAAAGATAACAGCTTGTGCAAAGCCACGAAGTTGCAAAAGGGCATCTTTGTTTCAGAAACCTTGTGGGCTTTGGTGGGCCTGGAATATCGTGAGGAGTGGAGGAGGGATGGGGGTAAAACTGGAGAGACACAAAGGGCTCAGGATGAGAGTGTTATTCTACTGTAAGTTTGGAAGAATGAGTTTTATACCGTTGGCAATGGGGAGCAAGTAGAGATTTTTAGGCTGATGAATGACAGATTCTAGGCTTGCTTTAAAAGATCACAGGGGCCAGGCAGAAGGAGGACAGGAGAAGGGGTGAAAAGTTCAAAGGAGACTATTTAGGAAGTTCTTGCAGTGGTCCAGGCAGGTGATGCTGAGAGCTCGTGGTCCTGTCTCCTGCAGTAAGAAAGGTGTGTCTGATGTGTGTGCACAAAAGGAGAACAGCTACCTGGGGTAAATGCAGGGTGTTTTCTCCAGCCACACATGGGCCATTTCTCTAGCAACCAAGGAGGTTAGCAGCCACCCTGGCTCTCTGAGCAGCTGTGCCACCCACCAGCTCCAGCCAGCTGTCACAAGGGCTCCAGGGACAGCCTCCTCCCTGATCCTGTGGCTTCAGGCTTTGTTAGGAAGAGGCTGCTGTCCTCTTGGTAATGGCTGTGCCTCAGCCTGGCACAGAAGTGATGTCAATGCATTTCTGTCCTGTCTGTCAGAGTTCTTTCACAACAGTCTTTAAAAACATGCTGAGGTTATAGAAAAGTGTGTCAATGTGTTTGGTGAATTATTATCATTTTTGTCAGTCTTATGACTGGTTAGAGGGGATGAGTTCTTTTGGTATTTAAATAAGAAAGCATAGGAATTTCCATTGTCTCTCCCTACGGTTGATGCAGGGAAGTGATGGGAGAAGAAAATAGCATCACAAGACTACCGACAGCCCCTTGTCCTCAGAGAAGAGCAGGAACTCCAGTTTTCTCCTGCAGTACTCAAGTTAGGTAGAAAGGAGGTTTTGGTTTTTGAACTTTTAATATTTTAAGTAGAGTTATTTCTGACTCTCAAGTTTATTAAACTGGTCACCATGAATTATGCATAAGAAAAAATATCCATCCTACCCAAAGTGATTTGCGGATTCAATGCAATCCCCACCAAAATACTAATGCCATATTTCAACAGACCTAGAAAAACTAATTCTACACTTTGTTTGGAACCAGAAAAGAGCCTGAATAGCAAAAGCAATCATAAGCAAAAGAACAAATCTGGAGGCATCACATTACCAGACTTCAAACTATACTACAAGGTTATAGTAACCAAAACAGCATGGAATTGGCACAAAAATAGATATGTAGACCAATAGAACAGAACAGAGAATGTATAAACCCGTCCACATAAAGCCAACTGATCTTTGACAAAGCACACAACAATTATACACTGGGGAAAAAGATGCTCTGTTCAATAAAAGGTCTGGAAAAATTGGATATCCACATACAGCAGAAACAGGATCCATAATTTCTCACCACTCACAAAAGTTAATTCAAGATGAATTAAAGACTTAAATGTAAGGCATGAAACCATAAAAATTCTGGAAGAAAATGTTGGAAAAACTCTTCTAGATATAAGCCCAGGAAAAGAATTTATGACTAAGACCCCAATGGCAATTTCAGCAACAACAAAAATAAATAAATGAGACTTGATTAAATTAAAAAGCATCTGTACAGCTAAGGAAATAATCAACAGAGAAAATAGAGAAGCTACAGAATGGGAGAAAATATTTGTAAACTATATATCTGATAAAGGGCCAATAACAAGAATCTACAAAGAACTCAAGCAAATCAGTAAGAAAAAAACAATCAACCCCATTAAAAAGTGGGTAAAAGACATGAACCAAAGTTTCTCAAAAGATAGACAAATGGCCAATAAACATGAAAAATACTCAATATCACTAATCATCAGGGAAATGCAAATTAAAACCACAATGAGATATTACCTTACCCTAGTTAGAGTGGCTTTTATTAAAAAGTGCAAAAACAATAGATTCTGGTGTGGATGCAGAGTGAAAGCAATGCTTATACATTGTTGGTGGAACTGCAAATTAGTACAACCTCTATGGAAAACAGCATGGAGATTCCTCAAAGAACTAAAAGTAGACCTACTATTTGGTCCAGCAATCCCATTATTGGGTATTTATCCAAAGGAAAGGAAGTTATTTAATCAAAAAGACACCTGCATTTGAATGTTTACTGCAGCACAATTCACAATTGCAAAGATGTGGAATCAACCCAAATGCCCATGGATACATGAGTGGATTAATAAAATGTGGTATATGTATACTATGAAATACTATGAAGCCATGAATAAGGATGAATGAAGGAGTTTTGGAACAATTTCGATGGAACTGGAGACAATTATCCTAAGTGAAGTATCTCAGGAATGGAAAAACAAATACCACATGTACTCACTATTAAATTGGAACTAATTGATGAGCACACATATTCACAGAAGGAAGTATAACTCAGAGGAAATTAAGCAGTGGGGAGTATGGGGAAGGGGATGGGCAAAAACCTACTTAACTGGTACAATGAACACTATCTGGGTGATGGATACCATTATAACCCTGACTGAAGCATAACAAAACTAATCCATATAACCAAAAACATTTGTACCCCTGTAATATTTTGAAATAAAAAGAAAGTTAATAAAATAAATCCTAAAGAAAAAGTATTCCACTAACCCTCTCTGTAGCAGAGTTGTTCTCTCCGTAGCAAAGACTGTATGGGAGCCAGCTGTGACCAAATGTCCTCATTTCTTCTCCTGGCATCAAGTAGACATCATCTTTCCTTCAACTTTCCTTCCCTCTCCTCACCTGAGCATTTTCGCAGGCACTTACCTGCATCCCAAATTGTTCTCCATGGCAGAATCTTTCAGGACTGCATCTAGGAGTGGCTAAAGGTGATTTGTTCCCAGTATTCCCTGCTAGTTTTAAAGAAATTGTGGTTTTTTTCCTACTACACACCTGCCTGGAAGAGTGGATATTAATTTTATTTCAACTTCTGATCCCAATGGCTAAAAGATATATTCCTATCAAGATAGCAATTATAATGAAACCTCACTGTCATCAAGTTTGTTGTATACTGTGATTTTATCCAATGTAACACATGTTTGCAGAGAGCTATAAATGTTCTTAGATGTAGAGATCTTTTACCAGCTGAAGGATTCCAATGATGTCACCACAGTAGTAAAGAATGTGAGCTATGAGGCTAGGGGATTTCAGTATGCTGACGAACTGTTGCAATAGATTAAATGCATTAAAAAGAGTTGTGGCCAGCACAATATAAGGAAGAATTTTTAAAAAGTGTGTTCCAAACATAAGTTATAGAAAATATTTTGAGGAAAAAAAATTTCCATTGTGTACTAACTTTGGGATATGGTGCTTATTTTTGTTTTCAGGATTTACAATACAATAAAGAAACTGTGTTCTGTCAAATTTTGTTTAAACACAGCATTTCCTATAGTGTGTGTGTATGTGCATGTAACAACGCAAGAAGTTTGCAATGAATGATTTCACTAAAAAATGTGACTCATGACCACAACCAATACATTGTCCTGTGTATGGATTTTTCATTCAGGTTCTAGTGCCATTTGCTTTTCTCTTGGATCCTTCCAAACTTTGGGTAGTCAGTCGTAAGTTCATTTTCATGACTCTTTCCAGTCTTGGTGACTTGCATACCATGACATTTTCCTTCTTTACCAAACTTGTGGGAAGAATGTTCTAGGTTTCCTCCTCTCTCTGATTCACTTGCCAGTTGATGGTTGGTTGGACTCCACCATCAGCAGCCTCCTAACACTGCTCTTTCAGGCCAGAGCTAAACAACTAAAATGCTAATTCCAGATGTTTCTCAGGTGTCTTCACCCACACACTCTCTCAGTCTGGTGATAATGTTTGAGTATTACTAATTTCACTCTTGGAGTTTCACCATCCTTAAGCTCCAGCATATCGAACTATCAAGGTTGTCTTCCTGGTCTATCAGCTACCCCTTCTCTGCCTCTAAATATCATCCCTTTTTCTTCCTCCCCTCATTCCAAATACTAAGTGAGCTACTACTTATTAAACACTTAGTATATACTTTACCTCATTTGGTCTTCACAGTGGAGATTGATAGTAGTAGCTGCCTTCTCTGTGTTCAAAAACCAAGGCTCAGACAGATCAAGATACTCGTTCGGGGTCACACAACTAGTAAGTGGCAAGATAAGAATTTGCATTTCAACTTCCCCAAACTCCCAATTCTGTGTCACTTTCTCTACCCTGTAACTCAAGCAGGGCCTGGGTATCCCTGGAACTGTTGGCCAGGCATGGAGAATCTAGAATCTGCTAGACTATCTACACTAAGTAAACATTGTGGAAAGTAAATACTTTGATATACTTTCACAGTAAAAACAAATCAGCCCATGATATGGGCTAGAATACATAATTTAAAAGAATTTTTAAGATGGAACTTAAATCTGCAATAAGATGTCGTGATTCTCTCCCAAGGATATCACTTTGCTCTATTGACTGATACATGCCAGGCACTCAATATTGGCCACTAGTTGCAAGCAGCACCACTGTTCCTACTGTATCTACTACATCCCACGCCCTGTCCTCAGGTGCTTGGGATAAGGTGGTGGTAGATAAAACAGCCACAGTCTCTATCCCAAGGTAGCTCACACTCTAGTGGGTGAGACAGGAAATCACCATACAATGTATAATTGCAGACTGTGGTGAGTGCAGGGAGCTATGAGAGTGTGTAGCAGGAGGAACTGATTTAGTGGTGGGGAGGAGGAGGCAGGAGTGATGAGGCAGACTCCCTGGGGCAATGATAATGAACTGAGATCTGAAGGATGAGTTGAGCTAAGTGAGTGAATTAAGATGTGAAAAGTGTACCCCTGGGAAGGACCAAACTATAGGAAGGCTCCTGAGCAGAAAGGAGCAGAAAGGAGCATAGAGTGTTGGAAAGATAGAAACACCAGTGTGCCTGGGGCCTGAAAAACAAGGTGGAGAGTGCTCAGGATGAGTCTGGAGAGATAGACTGCACCTAGGCCAGGCAGGCTATTTCCTAGGGACAGCAGTAGGAAATTTGGTTTTGCTCCAAGATAAACTGCAAGCTGTTGGAGGCTTTGAGTAAGAGAGTGACATACTATGACTTACGCTGTTGTGGGGAGAATAATTGGGATGAAGGAAATGGATAAATGGCAAAAATGGAAGGCCAGTGATCAGTGAAGAGTTCTTCTAGTTGTTTAGGTCTACAGTGATAGCAGTGGAGGTGGAGAGAGGTGTCCAAATTGAAGATATTTAGATATAAGAATGACTTACATGTGCAAGGTGAGTGAGAGACAGGATTCAGGGACAAACTCCCCTGGGTGTCTGGCTTGAGGACTGTCAAGGACAATGGTAATATGCCTTGAGGCCACCTGGTTAGTAGCCAGCAGAGTCAAGCCTATGACCCAAGGCTTAGGTGATGACCTGTCACGCATCATAACTGGTTCCCAGTGGCCAGGCCAGATTTGCCTCTTCTGCAGTTCCTGTTGAGACATTGTGGCCTTGAGTATGGACCCCATGGATGAGTTATTCCAAAGTTGGAAGTTTTTAACAACCTTGGACTTGGCATTAAGGGATCTGGATTAAAATTCCTGAGCATTGGGGGTGGGCCACTTAATGTCTTGAGCAGGTATCCTCATTCTGTTCAACACAGATAGCCAAAATACCCATTTCAAAGATGAAGAGATGAGTCTGGTCTACAACAGGGACATCTGAATGTGAATCCTGGGGACCACATACCAGTCTTCTCCTCAAATCATATTCTTGTCTTTTCTTTATAGGTTGCTTCTATGATGTGGGGGCTAATAGGAGCTTTTGATTGAATATCTTTTTGCTCAGCTCAGCTGCAACTTCCCACATTTTAGAGGCTCAGGAAATGTATGCTGGATGACAAAACTTGCCCCCTAATTTGTCCCTCATCATCACCAGGTGGGCTACTAGAGTGTTCTCTGTGCTTGAGATCTGGAAATAAAAATGGTAGTTAGTTAAAAGCCTAAGGCAGAGGACCTCAAAATTTCTGATCATAAGATCACCTGGCATAGCTTTCAAAAATACATATTTCTGGGCCCCACCATGCTAGAAATTCTGATTCAGTAAGTCAGAATGTGGCTGAGGCATCTGTGTTTTAGTAAGCTCCCAAGGTGAATCTGAGCTCGGAGATCTAAGTACTACACTGAAAGCAGCACTGGCCTGGGGGTTGTCAATTTTGCTGTGGTTTCGTGGAAGCACAAACCCTGTCTGCTTCACTACACAAGCGTTTAGTTGGTTACTAAATAAACATTTGAGTTAAATTGAAAAAACATTGCATTTTTCCCAAATTGAATTATTGTGTTGTGGTCCTATTTTTCTTCTCATCTACCCCAAGTCATATCATTGATGAATCAGCTGTTATTTCAGGAACAATGGATTGTAGGGATCTTCTCAGGTTTTGAGGTGATATTAAGGGAGGGGTGAGGTTCAGGAAAATTTCTATGTGTGCGCTTGTGTGTATGTATGTGTGTGTTTGTGTGATATTAGGAGTTTATGGAAATCCCAAAGGGTTTTCAAGTAGGCTACAAGGGTTTGGGTTGCCATTCATAAAGACCCACTGCTGATGAAACTCCATTCCAGCTCTACCATTCATTCAAGATTCGCATGGAGGTAGACAATTAAAAGTGAATTAGGACAAGACCAGGCTGAACGAGGCACACATCTCAACCTGAGGCATTCTCTTCAGGGCCACATGCAAAACTCCAAGAGACCACTCGCAGCCCCAGAGGCAGCTTCCTCCTGACAACACAGGTTTTCATTCTCCCTGCTGTGCTTTCTCATCTGCGGCAGCCCATCCATGCATCTTCCTCCACACCTCCCTCCTGCCTGTACTGAAACATTTTCTTGATTGTGAGAGCTGTCCAGCTTGCTCTTATAGCCTCTGTAGGCATGGCCCCTGACCAGCCTTCCTGTGTCACTCATGCCCTGATACATTTTTGAAAACTAAAATTCAAAACAAATCATACACTTGGTAGACATATGATTTCAAAATACCATGTACAAGGGGATGTACTCATAGGAAACTCAGGGTGAAGAGCAAAAAGGCCTTTGAAATGACAACAGCTCTAAGTGACTGGTCTTTGCCTCCACCCTAACCAAACTACCCACTAGCGTTGACTGTCATCACTTGGCCCTTTGGTTCCCACAGCCTCACTTCTCACTGCCAGAATGGTTCATGCTTTCTGAAGGAATCTGATTTTGCCTGTGGCCTCTGATTGACCATGGGGTCAATGTCAGCTTATAGAGGTCCACTGGGTGCATAGAAGAACTTGGTAGTAGACAGAACCAGGTTTGAATCCTGCCCCCTTCTTTCCCAACGTGAGTGGCCTTGGATGAAATCTTCCATGCTGGTAAATACCTCTGTTATGCTCTATGCCTTCCAGATGCAGATGAACATCCGGGCAAGGAGAACTGTGACTTAGAGAGAGTTGGAGGCCTGTTTTTCATTAGGCCCTCTGAGCAGGGTGCAGGCTTGCTGGCTTAAAGGAATTGTTTGTTAAGGTCTATTTAAGCACCAGAATTCTTCTTGCTCCTCCCCTTTTAAAAATTGGGTTTTAAATAAAAATGTGTTTGTTTTTGTCATTTGTATTCTTTAACTTTCAATATACCCCACTGTATGCCTGAAAGCTCTTTCTAAGGGTGTTCATTGTTAGGCGACTCACAGACACGTGGAAAGCCATTGCTTGGAGTTTACTGAACAAGTTAGCAACTTGTAGCCCACATGGAAGGTTCATCAGTGGTCACAGTCGCTTCCTAGTGTGATGTCCCCCTTGTATTCTGAGAGAGATTTTGGTCCATAAACTGAAAGCCACTCAGCAGCAATCTCCTGTTTTCTAATTTGTGATCAGTCTTTAGACGAATATAAAGCATTTCAGAGATGCTATGGAAAAAGCAAGAACAAATTTGTTGGCCAACTGTCCTTGGAAGTACCAGTCACTCCAACCACCTACCTCCAAAATTCTTCTTTCTGAATCCATGTTCAGCACACACCCTCTTCTTTGTCATGCTTTGTAAAAAAGACTGGCTAATCCCCAAGGTCCAGACTACCGCTCAGTGGTTGCATTTGCCAGAGAGGTTGGATTGAAGAACATTCTGGGCTCCACCCAAGCCCACATGGGTAAACAATGCATTCTCATACAGCACAGAAGGGAAGGAATCTTATCAGACAGGATTTCACTGGCCAGGAGTAAACCAATGATTTAACCTAGACAGTATGACCCAAGGAAACAAATTACTCTATCAACCTACAAAAAGCCATTTCTAACATTCCAGCACTAGCTATCATATCAAAACATCCAGATTCCTAAAAGCCCTCAAGTTTGGCTTAGAACATGAGTCATTTATTGAGAACTACTAAGTGTTTATGCCAAGTTAGGCATGAAAATAATGAGAAAATGTATTAACTGCTTAGAACAGCACTAGGGTCTGAAATATAGTAACTGTCTAAAAGTGCTATTATTATTATTATTCATTGTTGTTAGATGCTATGATTCCTGGGTAGGTTTGCTATGTTGTGCCAATGGTCTTTGACATCATTGACTACCTGCTTCTTAGGCCTCCCTTGTATTAGTTTATCCTCCTGCTTCTTGGACCATAATTTCTGCCTCCTCCTCTGATGCCTTCTGTCCCTCTTGGTGCTTCCTGCTCTTGGCCCTTCTTATAGGATGGAGATTTCCAGGGGCTCATGGCTTAGCTATGGTCTTTTCTTCTGCACTTACCATAGTGTGATTGATAATCTCCAAGCCTGTCCCTTGAGCCAAACCCTCCTTTCCATTCCTACTGTGTTTTCAGGTGGTAACTGCTTAACTGTATTAATACCTCTTGTAACGTTCAACTTTTTCCAAACACATTCATCTTCTTGTCTCATCAGTTCCAACCTGCAGGAGTTCCTTTGTGTCAGTGGCAACCTCTATTCAGCTCATTCAGGCTTGTAATTTGGAATTATTCTTTCTCACAGTTTGCTTTCTTTTTTATGTTTATTCTAACAATTAGTCCTTCAAATTTCTATTATAAAAACAAATGTGCACATGTAATGTGCATGTATATAGCATATAATAACATAAATATTATAATATAGAATATATAATGTATGTATATAAACAGTCTATATGTGTATATACACAGACATTTGTTTTTACGATATATATCCATTATGCCTATTATCTATATATCTCCCACATGGTATTCCATTCTTTTCTCTCTCGTTTCACTATGATCTTTTCTGGATTGTAGCAGAAACCTGTTTAATCTCTCTCCCTCTAATTTGTGAGTCCCTTTAGGGCAGGTACCAAGACTGTATTTCTCCATACGCCCCGGAGTCTGATAAGAGCTCCTTAAATATTTGCTGGGTGTACATACATCACCAATAAGTGGATATCTGAATGAATGAACTAGTATGCTAATCTTTCTGCCACCAGTCTTTCCATCTCCAGCTAGTCATGCCTAAGGCAAGCAGAGCTTGTCCTAAAAATTCCATCTTCATCTTCTTATTCCCTTGCTCAAAAATATGAGGCTCAGCATTGCTCTTAAAGGCAGCTTTCAGGCCACCCCACCGCGTTATTTTGCTCTGTCTGATGCTCTGTCCAATACCATCTCCTTCTCTTTGCTGCATAAAGCCTAGTTCCAGGCAAGTTAGACTTCTCTCGGGCACTGGTGGTCTGTACACTCATTCTTTCTGGATCCTTGCTTAGGACTTTCCAACTGTTTTCTCTGGCCATCCAAATGTAGCCCATCATTACATGCCCGAATCCCAGCCTTAGCGACAGCACAGCCCACAGAGATCCAGCCCCTGCTCTGAACTTCCCACACCCACATCTCCTCTGCTTGGCTCCATGTCGAACGGCGCCCTGTGTTATTATCTGGCAGTAAATTTATAACATCTTGAGACTAGGAACCATGGCTTATGTTTCTTTTGGAAGTGGACCATTGTTAAGGACAAAATTGATGGTCAGTGAAGTCTTATCAAAGTGAACTAAATGTAACATGAGATTTTATAGAAGACTATTCCTAAAGTGCAAAGCTGAGCTTGGCGCCTGTTGTTCCCATCTAAGCACTAAATTTACTACTTTATGTAGGGAGGGGGTCAAAGTCAATTCTTTGGGCTTCCAGTATGTTTTGCATAACATGCAGGTCCTAGTAATGGTGACGAAAATAGTAGCAGCTAATATATTGGAGTGCTTACTGCATTATGTGTAAGGCCCTGTGCCAAGCATTTTAATATTTTAATTTAATCATCCAAAAATCCTATGAAATAAGTTCTATTACCCAACTATGCAGATGAGGAAACACACCAAAGCTTCAAGCATTCATCAAGCC